GTACCTTGGCCTTCCCAATTTTATTCTTGCATGCCCATGCAATACTCTTTCCCTCTTCCTTAGAATTATTACCAAGTATCCACTTTTTGTAGGATTCTTTTTTGGAGTTTCAATTCATTGAAGAGCTTGCTGTCTAGCCAGGCTGGTCTTCTGGATATCTGCAGTGCTGTAACATCTTCACTGAGGGATTTGTAAGAAGGGGTAAATTACACCAACTTGCGTACCCTGTGGACTCCATTAAATTTACTCTGACTTACTATGAATCTCACTCCCAGCCATAAGTTTTTACTTAAATTTCCCTAGCAGACTATTCTTCTGACTGCATGGGAGGAAACATTCCCAGACATCAGAAGCCCTGGTTGACTTATCTCCTAACCTTTCCTACTTGTAGTCTTAAAATACTTTTAAAGACATCTTAACAGAGCTTGACAGCCTTTGAGTAGATAACTTATTTATCTTTCCACTATCACCATCCCCTTCAACAGTACCTGGAAGTTCAGCCACTACAGCAAGAGCTCCTGAAGAGGACTGTTTCACTTGGTAACACAAGCAGGACTATAGAGAGTCTACGGAGTGGTAGTTGGGGAGGGAAACTGTGTTGGGAGCTTTTGAATTGACTCTGTTCTGAAATAAAAATAACTCTTTATGACTAGTCTTATGTGAGTGTTTGTGGGGAAGCCTTGTGGCACCAGCAGTTGAGAAGACAAATAATTAAAAGACTGCCAGAAGGCCCAAAAGGAAAGAAAAAAATTTCTCATCTTTTGTAGCCTGATGAGGCTGCATGTCAAATCTTTTCTCTCTTACATCAAAGCCCTAACTTGTGCTCTCCAATTATTTGATAAGTTCAGTTTCACAATGGATAACAAGGCTTTATATATAACAGTTTCACACTGATGTGTATTAAACTGCTCAGAAAAGACAAAAACTTATTAACTGTTGGTTGGCTGTGGCTCTCATAAAAATCACTCAGCCAATTCCACTTACATGTTCTATCTAATATTAACTGAGTGGGATATCATGGTATAGATACACTATAAGTTTATACCACCAGAGGTAGTTTACAGAGAAGATTAGAGGAAGGGAGAAAAATAAATGTGAATAAAAGAGTTGTTTAGAGAAGAGTAATTTAAACCTACCTACTGGTTGGTTACTTAGGTCAAAATGCAGCAGAAAGTCTTCTGCAAATTTCTGGTTGTAGTGGACAGATGAATGTGGGGCTGTGATGGGGCACCACTTTTTGTAAAAAGGACATGTGTTTCTGTTGCTGATTTGAGAAGCGGAAGTAGCAGAACTTCCAGACTTGTCTGATGAGTGACCAAATCCTTTTTACTGTCTTTATACAACTTTAAGGATTATAATTCTGTATTTGTGGTAGCATCCAAGGGCCCATTTAGCCCTGGGGTGCTACATGACATAGGGTGTATCTACGTGTGCTTTAATGCCCACCTAAACTTAATGCATGTTATCCTAATGTGCATTAAGGCGATTTACATGTGTATGTGCTAATGTGCGTTAACATGGGTGTGCAAACCTACTTGAGACTAAAGTTAGTTCCAAGTCAATGGGCATACACTGTGTTAATGTGAATTGGCACATCTACACATTTGCAAATGCGATTTAACTATTCATGCATAAAGTTGATACCTGCTTTATGTAGATATCAAATTCAGGCTCGAATAGCTTTAAATCACCATTTTTAAGGTACATTAAGGGTGTGCACATGTAGACACATGCCCTTAATGCGCCTTAAATTGGGCTAGTGCGCATTAAACGCACACGTGTAGACATGACCATAAACATACAGAACGAGACAACCCCTGCTTTAGACAGTGCATAATTAATGACTTGTTCAGAGAAGAAGTAGTTATAAAGGGTAAAGCAGAAAGGCAAGGGAAATAGACACTTTAGGAGCACAGAGAAAATATTGTAAGCTTCTGTGTAATGAAGGAGGACTTCATGCTTGTAAAACTAACTTGTGTTTTTAGTAAGAGATCAGTGTCATTTAGGATGAGACGTCAAAGGCAGCTGGACGTAATAGTAGCCATATTATTCTTATGAAAGTGCCACACTTTAACCACGCTAGCCCAGCACACTGCTAGGCTCAGACAAATCTTGGATTTCTGATACTGAATAATTTCAACCAAAGCAAACACTGGCATTCCTGAAGGAGGGGTCAAGCATTAGCCAAATCATGGCTGTGCCACACATTACATAAGGCATGTAATCCTCTTAGCACCGATACCTATCTCCTTCTGCAGACATAGATTTCAAAGGCAGCTGTAGGAGCATCTTTCAAAGCTGTATACATCTCTGGGAAGGAGTGCTGTCACTGTAGGAGAAAAGGGTTGCTCTAAAATGTTTATTTTCTCATTTAGGTTTTTAAAGAAAAGCTGTAACAACAACAACCTTGGCACAAAACAATTTCCTGGAGAATAAATGGAGGGCTGGGTTTAATGATTCCTTAGCTTTGCCTCAAGCCATCATCTTTCCACTTGGTCATTAATCCCCAACCAATGCCAAAGGCCTGTGATTGTTGTTGTATTTAATTCATGGAGGTTACACAGGCTACTTCCCAGGAAGCTTTTCTAATGCAAATTCAGGAACAGAATTTAATTTGTTGCCCTGAGGGGTCAGGCCAATGCTCAGGATCTCA